TAGTATTACCTGTATGTTCAAGTTTCTTTATTATCATTAACTGAAAGGGTGGTCTTAGGTCCAGTTCAGACACCGAACTATTCATGAGCCGAACCTAATATATTGAACTAAGTACATGAAAAGTTCGGCGTCTGAATCAGCTAACAACGGCTATATGAATTTCGAACGGCTCAGCCGTTCTTCCCGCCTAGCTCGGCAGGAAGTTTCGGCTTTAGAATGACTTTGATTCAGACGTCCCGAACCTAAAGCATAAATTATTATAACGTATTTTACGCGTTGCCTGAAAATCGCTACCATTTAATGGTGATTTGGTTCCAACTAAATAAAGTTCGGCGATTAAGTTCGACGTCTGAATCAAGAGGCGTACTTTGATAATTAGGGTTGGTCCAAATTCGAACTAAGTTCGGCTCATGAACTGGGGTAAGCTTGCAGAAGTTATTCATTTGAAAAACGAACACAGTGACAGCAGATGTTTTGCCTCTGAGGCACTGGAAACTTAAGTGGGAAATGTGAGGAAAACGTTGCTTTAGAAAGGATTTGAAAAGCTCGAAAGAAAAAAAATATGAAAAATCTGTAGAAAATTGTACTGGTTATTTTTCCAGGAGCTTTAAATGTGCGCATACAGAAATAGAAGGCTTTATCTATGTAAATTTCTCTGCAGCAATTTCCCAACAAGGAACAGCTGTAGAGTAAAGCGTTTTAAAATGTTCCTCTACCGAGTTAAAAATTCGGTTCATGAAAGCTCGACAACGTCTTATTAACATTGCTAACTTTGGATGAAAGAAACTGAACCAGTGGCTGGTGAGCTATGGGAACGAAAACTTACTCGAAAACCACTGTTTTATTCGCTGGATTTCGCGAAAGTTCCTTGCAGTTCTGAGAGCTTCGTCAGCCCACGGTTCCAGCCTTTGAAAGAGAGCTCTTGAAAGCGCATCCTTTTAGAATACTAGAAGCACTGTAAAGTTGTAAACTTCTGGGCGTTCAGAAACTGCCTCAACCGACCCATGACAATCTTGACGACCCCTTTAATATATAGTGGGATGGCTTGTTAGCCCCTTAAAAGTATAAATACTTACCGGAATGCTGAAATGATCATACGATTGACTTGAAACGACCTTGTCCGCCTTGCTGTACACGTTTGAAGGCAGCAGCTCACACAGCCGCGGAAATGCTTTATTCCGCGCCAGGTTAAAAGAGAAACAGGAATCTTTAGCAACACATGCAAACCCACACTCTGTGATGTCTTTAACAAGTTCTGTACCAACACTTGTTATATTTAAGTAGGAGTTGCTGTGAGTCTTGAAGTTGGCATACAAAATGCCATTGTCACGGAAAGCTGGCTGCCCTGCGTTAAGAATTAAGAATCAATGTTAGTTCTGAACGCGGGTGCCAAGCAGAATTATGTCATATACATGGCAGAAGTAATATACCTTTTGAAGTTTCCTCAGAGCTCACTGATATGAGCACAGCAAGGAAACTGACAAAGTGGAGCGCATCAAGACCCATGTTGCGTCTCAGTTCTTGAACGGTCAACACTAGTTGACGATCTAGAACTAATATTAGGTAACATTAATTACCAACACTTCTTAAACACTTTAACACATAAATTTTAATGTAAACAATAGAAGGCAAGCACTCAAAAACACTGACAGCTTGCTAATTATAACATATATTTTTATGAAAGAGACGACTTCTTAGTGATTGGCTGAAAGCAGGCCAATTTATCGTTAATATTTAATTTGCACTGCCAAGCAGATTCAGAATACAGCTGCGTTCTTAATTTTCTCGTTTTTACCAGAATGATTTGAAAATCAGGGAACTATTTTCCTTTTTCACGTTATTGCCATGTTCCATGATGAACTACGGAGTCGTTTCGTTGGATAGTGAAACGGAACAGTCATTTCTTCTAGAAGTTTTTCCAAATGCCGTGAAATGGTACACACCGTCATCCCGTCTCATTTTGTCAGGAGCCCATCACCTGATTTTGTTCATTCGAAGTTTAGTCACATAAATCAGTTCGATTAGAGCACCAACAGAACTTAACCGAGTTTTACTAAGTGAAGTAAATTCTAGCCGGGGATGGCATTCATTTGTTTCGTCTGACGGGCCTTGCTGCCTAAGTGAAATGCGTCTGCGTTCGCAGGCCAGGGTTCGGGGACCAACCAGTGGATATTTTGCAAGATCCAGCCAATCAAATCACGAGTCTCCCGAATCAGCTTTTTTTTTTTTCATGTCAAGGCCTCGCCGGCCAAGAGAGACAGATGACTTTGGGGACGAAAATGGCATGCTACCCGGGGCGCTTATTTCGAATTTAGGTGAAGACGGGGGGCGCTTATTCGAGAGGGTGCTTAATCGAGGGGGGGCGCTTATTTAATTTTTCCCAAATCGTGGCCTGACATGATCAATTTTTCAATACATCATCTGCGCGTAAAAAACTTAAGCTGTTTATCGACATAAAAGGCTGATCCTAAACTTGAAATCGCGCCGACATAAAAAGCTGATCCTAAACTTGAAATCGCGCCGTTAGTACTTGTAATTGTTTTTTCCAAACTTAACGTGTTCACAAACCGAAACAATGCACAAATTTAATACTATAC